CTTTTAATATAGGATTTATTTTAAAATCTGACTGATAACTTGATAGAACATATCATAAAGAATAATATTACTGGTCAGTTTTTAAAAATATTACTTTTTTTAGGAAGTTGAAAGATTTTAAAGATATATATATCATTTAATTGTTTAGATTTCTCGCACCATATAAAGCTCTGTTCGGGTCGGGTCGGATTCGGATCGGGTTTGATCCGAAAATCGTAAAATAGTTTTTAGTTAATAACTTTTATTTTTACTAAGACACTTGTATTTGGTGTCTAAGTAGAGTTGTTCGGAATGTAATTGTGTATATACCCACAAATTTTTGTTTAATTCCAATTAATATTGAACGAGAAATAACGTTTTTTAGGCTGACCCGAAATGTGCGTTCTGGGTCGGATCATGCATTGGACCCGACCCGGTTGGAGCACTAGGTATATGTGATGGATATTAGGAGAGTCCAGGCGGGATCTGGTTTCTTCCGTGGTGTGCCACGACTCTGGACTGTCGTACAGAGAAGAGACGAAGTGGCTCAACATATTCGTAGATTGGTCAGATTAAGAACAATGATATTTAAATTCTTAATTTAAAGAAAACCCGCAGTAGAATAGAACTTATTTTTACATTCAGAAATTTCGAATATATTAACACACTACACTCTACTCATTATAATGGGTTACTAATTACATTCACGTTACAACGGATTTTTAAAATTTTAATTTTACATATAAAACATAAAAATCCGTTATAGCATACGTAATTAGTAAATTTGTTATAACGGATTTTTAAATGCAATTTCACAACCATTACGTTATAACGAGGGTCGAGTGTATACAATAGTTTCGCTAAAAAATGAATGATTTTATTTATATACATATATTAAATAAACTAAACAATAATGAAAAATTTCTATCGTCCGCAATTCGAGACCTTATTTTATCGTGGCAAACCATTAATTTGAGCTAAAAAAAAAATAATTCTTAATATTCGTGATATTGGGACAAATATTCGTGAGTTAATTGGTAGATTATGGTATGCGAGGTTTGTAAGTTAAAGTCCGTTTATGCAGGAGACTTGCAGGAGGTTGACCTTGACAAATTGTAATTATTGTAGATAATGAGTTGCTATCTCCTTGTTCTGCTGTTTTTAGTCTTTTTAATTATGGTTTTAGTTGGTGCGTTATTTGACGAGTCTCTTTCTTGTAGTTTATTGACAACTGTAATTAGTTGCGAAGCATATTGGTCTACGCAGTATTGCCAATTGGAACAGTCCAGTTAATTTTATTGGAACTGACTGGTTCCAATCCAATTGAGACTTTTATTCCATTTAGTCAATTGGATCTTTTGGACTGGACCAATTGGATCTAAATTCAAAAGTCCAATTGCACAATACTGATTTCATATATTGATATTTTTAGATTTGTAAATATACTCTGATATTTCGTTGCGATTTCTTCGATCAAATCATGAAGTATATCCATTTTGTAAAGTATATTTACCTCTTTTATAATGAATAATATAGAAAGATCTAGTCGACCCACGATTTTTTGTATATTTAAAGGAAGATGGATGGTCTCCGTCCAAACAGTATCAATCATTAAGAAAAAGCTCGAATTAAGGTTTAACTTTATTAATTACGATTTATCTTTTTTTCAGTCTATTTAATATTGTTGTGATTCGTTAAACAAATAATAACTTTTTATTCCTTCTTATTCTAATGTGGTTTGTTAGTACGAATCGACGACACATCACCATCACACAAAAAACATTTTTTGTAAAGGAAATGTTTCTTTGTATTTTTAGATATTGTAACTAGCACGTTATTAGTTTAGCGAACAGAACTGAGATGAGTTTCCATAATCAATTAATCATTTAATTATGGCGCATTTGTGAAATGAATTTATTAATTAATATTAGCCAATAGTGAACAAATACGCCGCCGTAATTAATTAATTTAACCAATAACGATACATAGATTATGCCCGTGAGTTCAATAAACATCTACGAGCCATTACAAGATAATGTTCGATATGGCGATAATGAGGAGAAATTATTATTTTCCCATGCTGGCCTTTTGTTTTTGCGGATATTATTTATTGTATCATCTAATAGCTTAAAATCGAAATCGTTTTTCCGAACGATAGAATCCTAATCAGTTATTTGCGCATTGTTTACTCGTTGTGCATTGTTTGCTTGTTTGCTTGTTGCATTGTCATAAGTGGTGTGATCTGATCGAATGTTGGCGTTTCTTAATATATGCGGATCAAAGATATTCAATCCACAGCTTCAGTCTGTGGATCAAATCTTACAAGGTGAAGTGGTATCATGTATGACAAAGTTGTCATGTAAAAAAAAACTACGTAATGTATAAAAATGTGTATGCAAAGTTAAAGATTTCAAACAATGTAATGTAAAAGCCAAATCATTTATTCACAATATTATCCTATTAAAATTTAATTGAATTTTACCAACAAAAAAAAGTCAGCTAATTTACAATTCTAATTTAAAAATACGTAGCTCGAATGATTAAAAATGTCCGTTTTCTTTATGTACCAAGGCAATCTCGACATAACATAATGAATTACATCATTTTAATCATGCTACACTATATCGCAGGGTTGTCAAATCGAGAATGTCTTTGTATTTGGTTCGATTTTAGCTTATTAATGCTTTATGACATAATTTAAAATAAATTCTCTGCTTCGGCTTCAAATTCTGATTCACCAAATTCCGGATTGAGTGACGATTCAAAAGAGATAACCATATCGAAGACGAATACCAATGTAAGAAGGTTAAAAATGGTGTTTGTCATTTTTATTTAATTTTGTTTCTGTGAATTGGTTGGGGGTAAAATCCTTTTACTTTATAAAGGTTTTTAAAATCGAAACAATCGTGAAACCACCTGAGTTTTATAGGTTTTTACATTGACCAAACATTTTGCAATTCATCTTGATTCTTTGTCTCTTACTTTTACAATTTTCCGTGGAGTTTTTTGTAACGTGTCGAAAAACAAACAGATCGAATTAATTCCATGATTACGCTGACGTCATGATCTGTAATTGTATTCAGTCACATATTGCTATTTCGAGTAATTTTATCCGAATATAGTGAATCATGCAATCATGCTTGTTGCACCGAGACAAATTTGTTCCGATGGAAGGAAGACATTAAATTTTCTAAAAACCAAAATTCGAATCGCGATACTAAACTAATTTGCGAAAATGAATTGTAGCGAGAAATTGCCTTGCCTTTTTTTTATTCTTTTGAGAGCGATCCTACACTTCCGAGAATACTGATCTCAAAGATAAGAAATATGACTGTCTTTATTGTCTAATCAAAAAATAAAATCAGCCGGTAAAAGGCTGAAAATCAAAAATCATTCGTGATTGAGGTTTCAAATTTCACAAGTTTCTGTTATAGAATTACTCTAAACTGACACATTCACATGGTTCTTTAAAAAGAGAAAAAGTTCATTGTAACGGTAACACTAAATTACATAAATCATCATTCACTTAGTTTTGAACTAATGACAAGTTCTTTTTATAAGACATAAATAAGAGCAAACCAAGATCATTTTTCTCTAAAGAAAAGAAAGAATTGAGCTTTTAAGCGAATGAATCCACTCTTGTTAAACCGAGAAATGGTCTAGATCGGATAAATATTCTGAAACAAAAAAAAAAGAGTAAACTTATCAGCTTATCAATCAAAAAAGCTACACATATACACACAAAAGCAAGGAACTACGTAATTTAATCAATTTTTTTTAGTAATTGTTACTCCTATTTTTATTTTCGTATCTTTTGGACTGTTTTCTAATTATTCCGAAGATCATTGCTCAAAGATTGGTGGTGATAGAAGAAAGGATAAGGAACGTTTATTCTAAAAATAACTGGTCTTTGTTTTCCCACAAATTATAATTATCGTTATAAATAAACAAGTAAATCATTGCCACCAGTCAAATTTCGGAAACCATCCGATATGTTATCATTGTTCAGTTGTCCTTTAAGGAAATAAATCCTTCATTGAAGATAATTTCCGATGACATCATTGCTGATGCTTCAAGTTTTGCCAAATAGTCGAGACTTAAAAAAAACGAGCGTCGAATATTGTATGTTTTAAATTTTACGTGTATGCATAGAAGCGGAATACGTATACATTTGATTCTTGTCCTAAATGCATAAAATCAGATATCGATATATATCTTTTTGATAACTGTCCCAATTATTTGTTTTTTTGATAGAGCTGCAGAGAGAGAAATCCAAATAGTGGCACAGATAAATCATGAAACGTTATTTGGGTTTTTGTTTCTCTCCCCTTGATTGATGATTTAAGAATAATTAATACCGATACAAGTTGATTTTTTGTTGTTTCACAAATTTCTATTCATAAAATTTAACGTGGAGAATGTTAACTTTTTATTAACTCAACAATCTGAGTTACGTATTTTCTTTTTCTGAATTATTATTTTGAGGGCTCTGAAGTTAATTTTTTTGTATGGTAACTAAGTGACCCGCACTGTAGCATTCTGAAAACTTCATTACAGATGACGATAGAAATTGATCGGATTGATAATGTGTCAATTGAAGTTTTTTCCCACTTTAAATTACTATGCTCCTTATTAGGAATTCTCGGGAGAATCAATTTACACGTTTTGTTTATTTTCTTGCACTTATCTGTTTGTTTCACTCATATGATTTTTCTATGATTTCACCAGAATCAATTGAAAAAAGAATATTCGTGAGTAATAATGAAGATATTTTCGCAGAGTCATTATTAAGTCTGTGGGCTGAATGACATTTTGGTAAAATTAAATAAGAGTGTGTTGTGTAATATTTGCCAATTTGAAATTGGCCTTCTTTGGCTAGTCGCTTTCTAATAATGAAAAACGGATCGGGATTCAAACGAATCCAGGAATCTAGTATATATCAAGTTTAGAGTTTGAATGGCAATAACGACACCAATTACGGGCAAGAATGACAACGGTTAAAAAGGCAAACCCATACTTCATCAATGAAAACCTGTACGCCCGTACACACGCACAATCTGCGTGACATTAATAATTTTCCCTAAAGATAACAATACTAAAATTTAAAAGAAGAGAATTGCATATCGACATTTGTATATAAACACTGAATCCTCCGAATCTGGTCTCCTTAGTAACTTTTTCGAGAAAAAGTTATTCTTTATTTTTTATCCTCAAAAAATATCTCTCAAAAATTAGAAAAAAAGAGATCATATAAATTATCATTATAAATTATCATTTTTATTATTATAATAGATCTTACATTACAAATATTCGTATCAAAATGGCAAACACAATATTTAACCTTTTGGCATTAGCTTTCGTTCTCGATATGGTTGTATCAATTGCAGCACCAGAAACAACAAAAAAAGCTTCATCATCATCGTCATTCGGTGCCGAGAACGAAGATAATAATAGTTCGGACAGTTTGTTTTCATTTTTTTAAAGCATGCCCACAATCAACAATACGGAGATTTCAGCACAACAACAACAACAACAACAAATATATAGTTTTTCAATTCATACTCGAAAATTGACTCTCGAAACTATTATCAAACCAACAAAAGTTTATCCCTCCAATACTATTGTATTGGAGGAAAAAAAAACAATAGATTGACAACAATCGAAGTCTCTCAATTCAATCTAAGATGCCCATTAGTATTTTTCGTTATCATCGTCTTCATAATTTCTTCCATTTTTAATTTATTAAAGCATTTCGTTTACGTCGGTTCTCGTTAATTTATTAATAATCTAATTAAAACAAATGCGCTTTTCATTAGTTGGTCTATACAGTGGATGCTATTCATTACAAATTCCTTAGACAAAAAACCGATGTAAATAGCACACACCTCACCTCCGAATGTACTTCTTATTTATTCTCTAATTTATTTTTTCTAATCATAACAATTCTCTCAGTTTGTAATGAATAAATTTAGATTATTCTGTAACAATACATTGTTTGTATGCGTGTTATTAACGTGTGAACCAATCGGATTTTCCTTTGTAATCTGGTGACATATCACCTTATACGTAATCGATTTCGTAGTTTAGATATTCGATCTTATAGGGATGAATTTGTGTATACGTAACGATAACGCTCTTGCTCTTAGCAAAGAATCAACTCTTCACTTATTTTCTATCGTTACCCAATACAGTGGGTCATCATAAAGAACCGACCAGTTACCAACCATTAAATTTGACAACTCAAAACCAGGATTGTAAATAAAAATATTATTTTAATAACCGTGGCAATTCGATCTTTTACTTCATGCCATAAATTTTCTATGGGGTTCAAATCGGAACTTTGATTCCAAAAGCTTTGCGAACGGCTGTTGCATTGTCCTCCTGAAAAATAACATTACCTCATGGAAAATCTTGTGTAGAGTATCTAAAATAGTTACCACTGTGCATTTCAAAATATACTTTGCTAAACAGAATATAAAAAACAGTGAATCTAAAAGCAGTAAGGATATTAAATCTAAAAACTCGTGTATTGAATGAATATATATAAAACCAGTTTATTGAATGAATCTATGTGACTTTCAATTTAGTTGTACGTAGTTTAGAAACTTTATGTAAATAACATGAACATTCATGTGTCAAAAATATACAGAAAGTGTTTGTTTCCTCAATGCAGATTTAAAAGGAAAATATGCACAACTAAAATGTTTCTACCCTTTTTACACATGTGATAATAATAAAATAAATCCTTTCAAGCTAAAGATACTGACAATAATATACAAGGTAAATGTTCTTTTGGGCACATTAAAACAGAGAAACGCTTAAATGTTGTAGTTGCCATTTCCAATGCCATTGAAATCGCCCCAATTCTTATTACCACCGAAATTGCCATTTTTATTTCCTTTGTTAGCATTGCCGTTTGCGAAACCATTGTAATTACCAGAGTTTAGATTACCGTTGAGGTTTCCATTTTGATCTCCAATGTTAACATTGCCATTCTTTGATCCATTTTTGTTGCCTTTGTTAGCATTGCCATTCGTTGATCCGTTGCCACTTCCTTTGTTAGCATTGCCACTGAAAAGAGATTGGATTAGATTAGATTAATTTTCGCTTGATTTCTGCTCCCTTCAGTATACCGTATTAGAATAATACTTACTTTTTGCCTCCGTTTTTGTTTCCAATATTAGAATTACCATTTTTTTGTCCGTTTGCATGACCAACATTAGCATTTCCATTTTTGCTTCCGTTTTTGTTTCCGACATTAGAATTACCGTTTTCTTGTCCGTTTGCATGACCAACATTAGCATTTCCATTTTTGTTACCATTCTTATGTCCAGCATTACTGTTTCCATTGGCGGCTCCATTAAGATCACCGGCGTTAGAATTTCCATTAGTGTTTCCATTGAGGGTACCGTTATTATTATTTCCGTTTAGAATACCATTGGCAGTACCATTGTTGGCATTACCGTTAAGAATTCCATTGGCAGTTCCATTGTTGGAATTTCCATTACCGACACCATTGTAAGTTCCATTGTTGGCATTTCCATTACCGCCACCATTGAGATGTCCAATATTACTATTACCGTTGGTTTCACCGTTATGGTCGCCAAGATTAGTGTTGCCATTTCCGACACCGTTTGCGTCTCCATTATTGAATCTACCGTTGGAATTTCCATTGGAAGTTCCGTTATTTTTATTACCGTTGAGACTTCCATTGTCAGATCCATTGTTGAGAAGACCGTTGGTATTTCCATTGGCGTCTCCGTTATTGCCATTACCGTTGAGATTGCCATTGGCAGTTCCATTGTTGAGCAAACCGTTGTTATTTCCATTAGCGGTACCATTGTTGGCATTACCGTTGAAACTTCCATTGAGATCTCCATTGTTGAGAAGACCGTTGGTATTTCCATTACCAGTTCCATTGTTGGAGTTTCCATTACCGACTCCATTAAGATCTCCATTATTGAGAATGCCGTTGGAATTTCCATTGGCGGTACCATTGTTGGAATTACCGTTGATACTTCCATTGCCAGATCCATTGTTGGTATTTCCATTCGAGTTACCATTGGCAGTTCCATTGTTGAAATTTCCATTACCGGCACCGTTGAGACTTCCATTATTAGTATTACCGTTGGATTCACCGTTATGATCTCCAAGATTAAGGTTGCCATTTCCGGCACCGTTTGCGTCTCCATTATTGACATTACCGTTGAGATTTCCATTGGAAGTACCATTGTTGTTATTACCGTTGAGACTTCCATTGGCAGTTCCATTGTTTACATTACCGTTGGACTTTCCATTGGAAGTACCATTGTTGTTATTACCGTTGAAACTTCCATTGAGATCTCCATTGTTGACATTACCGCCGAAACTTCCATTGTCGTCACCATTGTTGACATTTCCATTACCGACTCCATTGGAATTTCCATTGTTGACATTACCGTTGAACTTTCCATTGTCAGTTCCGTTATTGGAATTCCCGTTGAAAATTCCATTGGCAGTACCATTGTTGACATTTCCATTACCGACTCCATTGGTATTTCCATTATTTAGATTACCGTTGTAACTTCCATTCTCAGTTCCGTTATTGTTATTTCCGTTGACTCTTCCATTGCCAGTTCCATTGTTGGCATTTCCATTGAATTGTCCATTGGCAGTTCCATTGTTGCTATTTCCAACTATTTGTCCGTTATTATCACCATTATTTCCATTTCCGTTGAATTGTCCGTTGCTAGTTCCGTTGTTGTGATTTCCAATGTCTTGACCATTGCCAGTTCCGTTGTTGGCATTTCCGTTGAATAAACCGTTATAATCACCATTGTTTCCATTTCCAACGAGGTAGCCATTCTGGTTACCTTTGTTATTATTGCCATTCGCATTACCATTGGCAGTTCCATTGTTCTCATTGCCGTTAGATTGTCCATTGGCAGTTCCATTATTTTCATTTCCATTTAGATTTCCGTTTTCTGAGCCGTTATTTTTATTTCCATTCGCAACACCGTTCAAATCACCAAAGTTTTTGTTTCCATTGGCATTGCCATTGCTGTCTCCCTTGTTTTGGTTTCCGTTAGCGTTTCCATTTTTGTTACCAAAATTTTGGTTTCCATTATAATTTCCATTAAATGAACCAAAGTTGTAATTTCCATTGAGGTTTCCATTGCCACCTCCGATATTGCCATTGCCATTTCCATTACCATTACTGTCTCCACGTTTATTAATTGATGCAGCCGGTGCAGCATTGGTTGATGATAACGCTAAACCAAGAAGAGCAACTGAGGCTAAGGCAGTCAAGTATGCGATTTTTCTAGCCATTTTAATACAGTATATATAAAATCTAATTTATGATGAGAGAATGTGGATGACAAGGATTTATAATTTCTATGTGAACGAGGTGATGAGAAAGCGAGAGTAAGATGATAGATAGTCTAGAGTGAATAAGCGTGTTTTTAAGAGAAGGAATCACCTCGATAATGAAGGGATGTGTAAAAGGGAGATGTGTATTAAGGGGAGAGGAGAGATTAATGGGCAAGGAATTGCTACCAACACACCTTTTATACATTTTCATCGAACGCATTTGCAATTCCTATTCCTTCTATATTCATGTAACCACAACAAATTAACATTAAAGATTTCGGCTGAGAAAAACTGTCATAACCAACAAAATCACATCCTTCCAAAAATGGTAATTTGTAATTAATCAGTTTATTAGACTTTATTAGGCGAGAGACAAACACTGATACATTGATCTAACTTGCACCAATCTAAAGTTTGCATCTTGGGTGTAAATTACCTGCATCATTGATTTCGCACGTTGAGGTTATGCGCCCGCTATTTTAATATATTTATATATGGTTTTAATGGATTTTAATACGTATTCATTTGCAATTAAAAGATCGATTTACACCACAGGAAAGTACGACATTGATATTTATAAAAAATAGCTATTGTCTTATTAACAACGAGCATAGTGAATGCTCTTTTAATTTTTTAAGGAAAATAAAGCTGCAATACAAATTATTGTTTTGTATACCAGATTTCATATGGATCCTTGTGTCTCAAAATAACTTGTAATTGATTAATTTTATTAGGGATTTATTGGTTGGCTAATTATAATAAATACTATACTCCGGAGAATCCGCATCTGGCGAATAATCTGTGATTATATCTAATTGCACCAAAAATAGATAAATTGCATCACAAAAATAGATAATTTTAATTTGTATCACCATAGTTTATTTTCATTATTGGATAAATTTTTTTTCCTAAATTCACATGATTCGTTATTTCTTGCCGCTCATTTACGTAGTACATGTATACGTATGTGGATACGAAAGTGAAGAGGATCAACCTGTGCGATTTGTACTACTACGGGTTCCAGAATTCATTTAACTTGCATACATGTATTATTTGAAAGACAAGATTGCTCCACCGCCGTTCAAGTCCGAAATTGTCTCCGTGAAATTGAAAATGTCGAAATCTCAGAGCCAACCTTTCGTTATATACTAGACAGGAATGGGTTAGTATCAAGAATAAAAAGAGCCATACCTGAAGCCAGAACATCAACAACAATTCGCTGAAAAGTATAAAATTGGACCAATGAAGATTGGTCAAAGGTAATATGGTCCGATGAATCGAAATTCAAGGTTTTTGGGTCAGACGGACGTGAGTATTATTGGAAGCGACATTAAACAAGCATCATATTAAATTCGGTGGTGGACGTGCAAAATCGATGGGAGTGATGAATAGAGTTATATCGATTAATTCATACGGAAGACCTCATAAATACTATCGAGCAACACGGTTTCGCTATCAATGACGTTATCTTTCAAAAGGGATCCATTCAAAATATTCATATTCATCCATTCATTAGTTTGTCGATAACTTCATTTTTGCTAAACCACCGACTTTATAAATTTATAAACATCCATCACAGTAATTGGTTTTTTGACAGTGGGTACATTTACTACAATCATGTTTATTCATTAATGTTATGTAGTGGTTATTATTATACATGTATAGAGACACAAATAAGAAATTATCGATACAAATGAAATTCAAAGTGTATAAGAAATTGTTAATTAAATTTTTTAGAAAACAATTACATACGAGGCATCTATTGAAACGCCGATTAGAATAATCTTTGTAAATGTTGACGTTGTTGATAATGATATCCTCATCGGCGTTCAAGTCTCAATCGAGTTAATCTCAATTGATGTTGCTGCAGGACCTGCTGGATGCAAGCGAGGCACCTATTGCAACGCCGATCAGAAAATATATAAAACATGTTGATGATATCGTTCTAATCGACTTTCAAGCTTCCATCAAATTCGTCTTAATTGATTTTGAATTGCTGCTTGGTCTTGTTGAAATTGATTTTGCAATTGCAGCAGCAACTGCAAGTCTTGCTGCTGGATGTTTTGCAGAAGAACAAACACCACCTGGAGAGTTACTCGTGGTGGTGGTAAATAAAGTCAAAGCGTAAAGCAAAAGAGATTTTGCGAGCTAATTTACGGTTTTCGTCTTAATGAAGAAGCGTGACGTATAATGAGAAGCGTGTAGAACGAGAAGAGTGAGGAGCGAGAAGCACGTATAGTAGAATGAGAAGAGCATAGAGTAGAGAGTGAGAAGAGCATAAAAAATAAGCATAGAGCAAAAAAAGTAAAACATAGAGCAAAAGTAAAAAGATTTTTAATAGCTGTGGGCTAACTTACTAATATTCCCATCTTTTATTAAAAGTAGATCAAATTAAACTTACCAACTTGCTAGCTAATAATGCACCTGGTGTAATTGCAGCTTGCCAAGAATCAGCTTCGGTCAGAGCATGGAGTAGTCCAACGCGTATGTAAAATAAAGGAGACCGGTTCCCAACTTTTTTTTTCGTTACATATCTTTCTTTTGTTACGTGGCCGTGTTCCGTTACGCGATCGTGTTACCATCTTTCTTTCGTTATGCGGTCAACTTTTTTTCGTAACCGATCTCTCTTTTGTTACGCAGCCGTGTTCCCAACTTCTTTCTTTTGTTACCAATCTTACGTGGTCGTGCACTGGTTTCATTCGTTGCGCGATGTTAGTTTTTCTAAAAGCGCAAAAGCGAAAAAAAAGCATAAAATGATTTTTGCGGGCTAACTCACTCGTCTGCATGTCTGAGAATATGAAGGCAATGCTTTTTTTTATAAAAATTTGGAACAGACTATATATGGAAAATGGTTTCAATTACGTAATTTTTCAGACTCCTGACGATCATCTTACTTTTAGTAAACAAAGAACGCAATTGGTTAATTCACAAACGGAAATCGCCACGTGACCACAATTTTCACAGTAAATCGTAATAAAAATAGAACGTCCTTCGCCACGCTCCGGAAAATCAGAAAATTTTCTATATCACATGATCTCTGAATGTATTCTCGGCGGGAATTCACAATGAGGAATTTGTGCATTGTGACTTTCATTGATGTTTTCATTGCCGCTTACCGATCTAGCAGATATAAAAAGTCCCTTATATGAGTCTGGAGATATTAAATGGAAATCATACACTGAAGCTGTGGCTATTTATGGAAATGTACGAGATAGTAATAGACAAATGACGCGGAGTCATGTACATAATTTTGTATTAGACATCTATAAATGTACTCGGGTGGTGCAAAAGTTATTATTGAAAATGCTGGAATCATATTCAGAAAACAGGTCTATCTACGGTATCGACGAAATCGATGAATACAGTTAAAGTTCGATAAAGCGAGCCCCCGATAAAGCGAACTCGCATTAAAACGAAGAATCTTCAGGAACCAACCTATTAACAAAGAGCTTGATATAACATAAATAGTTAAGCGAAGTTTATTTTTGAATAACCCGAGCGAGGCCTTCGGTTTATCGAACTTTCACTGTATCAAGTTTTCTTAATAAACATTACTTTGTTTACCTGTTACAACTTCGTCAACACTATAATTTCGATAGGTTGAAAAATGACGTCCACCTATACGCAGCTTAACGAAATTGGAAAAGGAAATATTCTGGCATACATGGAAACCACAAATGCTGCTCAAATCGCAAAGATGACCCCACAACGGTACATCGCTTTATTAACAAATATAAACGAACAGGAAAAAGTGAAAACTTACCATGTTCAGGAAGACCACCAGATGAAGCCAACGAAAAAAGACGTGGACCACTACGCGAAATAGTCAACAATTTAGGCACCACTTGTAGTTTATCAACAGCCGCAAATGTATTACACAACACCGGACTTAACTCATGTATTGCAGCAAAGAAACCCTATAGCTCGGAAACACATGCACATGCTCGTATTATATGTTGTGAAGAAAATAAAAATAAATCAGCTTATGATTGGGCCAAAACAATTTCCTCTGATGAACCAGTGTTGAAGTTGGAAAGCAGTCACGGCAGCCAAGAGTTTGGCGGCATCCTAGAGAAAAGTTTAATGTTAATTGCTTGGTTCCTACCTTTAAAAGTGGACAAAAATCTGTAATAGCTTGGGGGTGTTTCGCGGGAAAATTAAAAGGACAATTAATTTTTTGTGAAAATGGCGAAAAAATAACTGCAAATACTTACCTTGAAATCTTAAAAACTCATTTATTACCATTCCAGAACGCAATTAAGGAGTTAACTGAAAGTTACGCCATTTTCAATAAGACAATGCGCCGGTTCACACTCGGGAAAAATTAAGAAATAGTTAACGGAAAATAAAATCGCGATTATTAACTGGTCGGCTAATCCCCCAGACCTGAACCCAATAGAGAACATTTGGAAGATATTAAAGGACAATATTCAGAAAAATGAGAACTTTCCGAAGACTGTGGATGAACTCAAGGTCGCGTTAAAGGTGGGGTGGAAAAAAATTGATGTGGCCATTTTAGAATGAGTTACTGCATCAATGCCACGAAAGATTAATGCGGTATTTAGAGTCAAATGGAGGGCCGATTAAATTTTATTTTTATATACAGTTTCGAATTATTACACTAATTCTAAGATTAGGATTTTACAGTGATTGTTTCTCTTGAAGTTTTCTAAAATTAATTGGGCAATAATCGTTCGATGTCTTTCAATTGTCCAGGTATTTCAAGAAAAAAAAAGTACGTAACGTTTATAATGCAATACGAATTACACAAGAAATTAATAACCATTTATTTTTAACCATTTCATGACATGATACACGTATCTAAAAAAAAATATCGATTCCACTATACGTACTAAACGCAAATATGTGAAAATTCTTGAACCTATAGATTTGGTGATGTTTATTTGCCGATTTTTCTTGGTCTTTTACTCCGATATGTAGTTTGGTCATGGTCAAGTATTCAAAGACGTCGTGTGAATATCTATTAGTATAGGTTTTCATTTTACTTTAATAAACATCGTTAAATCAATATGGGTCGTATCACTATCGAACCAAGATCACGAATTTCTGCCCTTCTTCAAGAAGGATTCTCCTCCCGTTATATTGCATCAAAAGAAATATTGCGCAATCTTCTGTTATCCGACTTAAAAATATATATACTACTGGCTCTGTAAAAGATTTACCAAAATCTGGCCGTTCACGATTTTTACAGGTCGTGATGAACGTAATATTATACGATACATTTCGAGTATTGAATGTTCTAATGCTGTATCGATTCAAAAACATCACAAATTAATAATAAAATCAATGTAAGTGATAGTACTATAAGAAGAACTTTACGTAGAAATGGTTTTTCTGCTAGAGTTAAACGAAAAAACTATATTTAAAAAAACACATCGAAGATTGCGTTTAAAATTTGCTAAGAAATACAAGGATTGGACAGTGGATGATTAGAACAAAGTGATTTGGTCAGACGAGTCTAGGTTTATGATATGTGGGTGAATATTGTTGGAAACGCAAAAATGAACCACTAGATGACCGTCATGTAAAACCTACCGTCAAATTTGGTGGTGGAAGTATTATGATCTGGTATTGCTTTTCTTCCTTCGGCGTTGGTAATATTGTACGCATTTTTGGCACCATGAATAAGGAATTATAAAATTTTGAATGATGACTTGTTAGGAACTATCGAGTATTACGAGTCAGATAAGAATAATATTGTTTTCCAACAGGATAACGATTTGAAGCATATGGCTAATTTAACGGAACAATGATTTTATGATAACGATATTGGTGTATTAGAATGGCCATCACAATCCCCTGACCTCAACCCTATCCAACATATCTGGAATGAGATGGATATACATTTGAGAAGCTTAGAAAATCCAGTTCGTACTCATGAGTTATGGGAAGCTATTCAAAAATATGGATAGAAACGGATCATGACTTTTTAACTAGTCTAATTGAAAGTATGCCCAAACGAATAAATAATGTAATTGAGGGTATTCAGAGTGATAAAGAATAATTTATTTAAATTTTTAGTCGTTAGTTATTTAAATAACGGTTTTAAATTATTTAAATAGCGGTTTTAAATTATTTATTTACATATAAACAGTCAAAAAAAAAAACGCGTCACGTAAAATTGCATCGATCATTATTATTTTAATTTACTTATCGTTATGTTTACATGTTTTGCAAAATTTGGTAAATAATATGTGTCGGAATTCATGAGTTTCAGATGTTTGTCTGTAACAGTAACGGTAATGTTATCGTTATTGAATTTCTAATTTTATTTTTTGTGTGAAATGGTCACTGTACGTATATGTATACATGTATTATTATTTTCAATAAAATATTCATGATATATGAACATTTGACGTGAAATATATTAATACAAAATATTGACATGTTTGTATAGTTCATTTTTTATTGATCACGGAATGATCACGGTAAGATTATGATATGAAAAATACGAATAAAAAACAAGAAATCCACTCAAACGCAGTTTACACCAGTCGAATGTTTACCACAAAACTAATTTCAATTCAAACTGAAACAGGTACTTTTTATTCTAATTAACTTTTAATTAAAATTTATATCGAATGTTTAGGGCTGACAAGTATCTGTTTGTATACTCCAAACGACTGCGATTTTAGCATACCATACGAAATCAAAGAGAATGAAGAGATATCGAGTGACTTGCAAGAATAACTACAGATTGAAGATGAAAAACTTCCAATAAAATAGGACAATGTTAAAAAAGAAATGGTAACTACTTTATACTTTAAAATTTTTATTGTCGTTGATTTCATTTAATTTTAGAATCTCAGTCTAAACATTAGAAATCCTGATGGTAATCATGTAATACATGTTCACCACGCTTTAACAAATCGCACAGATTGATCATCTTCACTTTCGTATCCACGTATATATAACGATAACGAAGCTGAAATCCCAGTGAATCCAATGGGGGATTATGATTTAACAAATTTTATAAAGACTGTTAACTCTACGGGTTTGTTATTCAAATTAATTTGATTCTGCTTACGAGCAGGTAATACCCTTCGGGTGCGATACTTTGTGACTAAAAATCCAACACTATTCTGGTTTTATAGAATATTATTATCGTCAACGTTTTATTTGTCAGGCATATGGGATGTTAGAGGGAGGTAACACACACAGTTCATGTATACGCGCATAGTAAC